TATAAATAATCATAACACTAATAATAAGGATAATGATAATTACATTATCGATAATTAATCAATTAAATTTCTCCATGCGATTGCAAATATATACATATAGATGGGATATGTATTAGTAAGAACTAGAATCAGTTATTATCCGTAGCTTGCTCTCAAAGTTATAATTAATTATCGACACAGATGGCTCATCTTTACAACCTCGAGTTCGGTGTGTGTACGCGCGTGTATGTGTGTACGTACGTGAAATAACATGTAGTCGTGCTTACATACACAGTGCTATGTATATCTCTCTACCCTGGAATACTGTACCGTTTACAGGATCTCTACAGGCTACCAAATTACAATTTGATTTTTGTACACGTTTAGAACCTGTTCATCAGAAGACGTCCGCGAGTACCCCGGACTCTATCGTATTACATAAAGTATTACATAAAGTATTGTTATTTACTCCGCGATTAACGCATTAATTGCGTTCTCGTCCATCGCGATGTGTTTTAAATTTAATTAGATCCACTATAAGCGTGACACTTAGCGCGAGAGAGAGAGTACGCGAACTTACTTTTAGGAGGGTCCTCTTCGTACCAAAAAAAGAAAAGAAAAATAGTAAAAGCTATATACATACATCCGTCCATTGGAAAGAGACGCGCGATTAATCTTACATCATAAATGTATGTCTTTTCTATGTATATCTACGTGCCCTTTCAATCCTTAACTGCTGCGGCAGGCTCCCGAGAATTACATCCGAAACCTTAAAGATTTTCCTTTTAGCTCTCTCGTTGCTGAGCTTCGATATATTTAATTAGAAGTACCAAGCGGTTGTATCTATTTCCATTTTTATTTTTTGAATTAATTCTTTTACGCATTGAAAAAACATTTTTGGATTCATGAATTTTTAATTTTTGATCAATTATCCTTTTTATTTCGAGGAAATAAAAATTAAGAAATGCAATTCATGAATATTCTAACTCTTCCTCGATTCAACCTTCTTTAGTCTAATGAAATACCAAAATCAGAAAGTATTTTTAAATTTTATCTTTAATAACAAAAACACATTAATTCAAATAAATAGTAGATAAAAAAATAAGCTTAGTATTTTTAATATCATTAAAATCACGAAAAATACATAATATTACTGATTTTTTTCTGATCAATATATCTTTTCTTCTTTTTGCATAAGCACCATAAAATTTAGTCCTATTAGGGAGCGTATCGTTTCTATTGTCATTTGGTTATCGCATCGAACTGGCAGGACTAAACTTCTTCACGATAATTACGCAAAAATTCATCTGACAGATTTGCCCGGTGGCGCGGTCATTACGGGACAACCGCGGAATAATCTTTAAGTTATCGAACTTATTCACGAGCACTATCGTAACTTTCCCGCTTGTAATATTCCCGCAAAATCATATATGGTACGATGCAATTTCCCGGGAATTCTGCAGCGTCAGTTTTTGTAACACCGCTGTGGGTGCTCCGGAGGGTTGATATGCAAACCGTGAGCTTTGCACGAAGCTCGTCTCATCTTCTGATGCACAGTACTCGAAATGATTATATATATATATATATATATATATATATATGTATATATATATATACATATATCGTTTATTTTTATGTATGTGTCGCTTTAGATTTAACCCTTCCATCCGACCGATCATTTTATCACGATGGGATAAGCGGCTGCTACCCTTAAGAAATCTTCCGTCTTCCGACGAACTACGAAATTATCTAGTCTCTTCGTGATTACGCTCTTATCTTATCTTCTCCGGACTATAATCTACGGCCCTCATTTACCGGCCCGCCTACGTTGTGGGAACCGTCGGCCATGTCTAATAACACCAAGTCTAGAACTCGGTCTCTGGTTCTTGAGTTTCTTTTTCATCTTGTTTCTACTTAGCGGAAAAGGGTTAAATATAAAGGTCGATCGTCGGGGGAGGACACGCCTGGAACTCCATCCCCGTTTGCGCGTTCGCGCCGGATCGAAAATGCGGCGACCGGGACGAGCGTGTTAAGCGAGCGTTCGTTGTAAATACGTTCTACGTCTTCTTACTTTACCGAAGAGTCTTAGCGCGTGGGTAAAGTGTCAGAAAATAAGCGACAGTTTGATTATGCGTGCTCGATCTCTCGACTTAGCGCGCGTTCTTTCATGACGCGCCCCATTATTAAACTCGTGTCGGAGCGGGATTCTCATTATGCGAATATCGCTCCGTCGAGATGCCGCAAAAAACAATATACCACTGTTACACAATTCCTCGAAAACGAAGATGCCTTTCTCTCTCGCTCTTCTCTTTTCTCTTTCCAACAAAACATATTAATTAAAAAGATACGCGCGAGTGATTTCATGTCATCCTCTTTTGATCAAGCTATTGTATACACTCTTAAGAAGGAAAGCAGAAGAGAAAAGAAATAATGACAAACATTTATTAATTATATGGAAAATTTAAATATTGGATTGAATGAAAAAGATTATATATTATTATAATTGTTATAAATTTTTCCGAGTGGCCTGGAAATTTAAAATAGAAAAGAAACATTCACACGAATGTTTCTCAAAATTAGGATTATATAATCGGATGAATTTCTTAGTAACTCTTTCGAGTTCTTGTAAGATTCTTGCAAGTTCAATCTCGAGAAATTATATGACAGGACAATATTTCATCTCGAATATTTATCCACGAGTGGGTATCGAGTACGCAACGACATACACTCTTGATTTAAACGCCGTACTCCGCATCACATAAATATATGTATATGTATTTATATATTTATCTACAAAATTGTATGATATGGTTACACGTTCTAAACTGCTTAGCGTCTAATTTGCCTTACGTTTTAGGTCCTGTTTCACTAAATCAAAAACCTTGAAGAGCTCCTCGGATAAAACATAATGTGTAGGTATTCTATGGAGACCTAATTTTACACATATACTTACAGAATAATATTAATAATAATAATAAAAATATAAGAATGTGATGTAAAAATAATTTTATGCTTCTCCTCGGAGAGTAGCCCTCACTGGGGTGAGGGGGGAGGGGGAAGGTCGAGATAAAGTAATAATCTATACTTATATCGTTGGAACACAAACGTAACTGTAAATCCAAGTGCGAATAACGAAACGACGAACGCGATGCGCGGTGAATTCGACGCGCGTCGCTTAGCTTAGTACCTTTTTTTTTATTTATTTCTTTTTTTGAATTCGCGCGCGTTCCTCCCCGCGTCGATACGTCGTTTCTTACGATCGACAACAATTTCAGTGTCTTCTTCGTCGTTGGCGATCGTCACCGAGGATCGGGTCCAAGGTGCGCATTCGCTCGGCCGAAGCCGTCTTCTTTTTTCTTTTTTTTTTTAAATACACACAACTTACCCCCTAGTCATATTGTAACAAATATTGCCTCGAATATAAACTTTGTATTCTTATTTAAATTATATTCTCATTTGCATTAGATTTTTCTTTCTCTCTCTACCTCTCCCACTCTTTCTCTCCCTCTCTTTCTCTCGCATTCACTCTCTCTCTCTCTCT